TCCCTCCCAGGTTTGAGAGCCTGGGAGGGAGGGGGAGATCCCGAGCAGCCGCAGTGCGCAAAACACCTGATTGGCGTGCCGCTGCTCCCCCTCCCTCCCAGGTTTGAGCCTGGGAGGGAGGGGGAGATCCTGAGTGGCCGCGGCGCACGAAACAGCTGATTCGCTCCATGCTGCTCCCCCTCCCTCCCAGGTTTGAGAGCCTGGGAGGGAGGGGGAGACCCCGAGTGGCCGCAGCGTGCGTGCTGCTTCTCCCCCTCCCTTTCTCCCTCCCTCCCTCCTAGGCTTGAGAGCCTGGGGGGAGGAGGCAGGGCTGGGGATTTGGGGAAGGGGCGGAGTTGAGGCGGGGCCGGGGGTGGGGTAAGAAAAAAACGGGGGGGCGGCCAAAATTTTTTTTTTCTTGGGGCGGCAAAAATCCTAGAGCCGGTCCTGCATGCATGGAATTAAGCAGCAGGCCACAACCTTTATTAAACTTTAACACAGGAGAGGAGTGCTACCCACCCATCACCCACATTCTCCTATACCCGTGTAGGGGTTACAGGACTCCTTACCATATAGCCCATAACATGGGGTGGTTCCCCTCAGCTTATCCCCTGGAACTCAGCTCTCTCTGAGTCCTAGCACTCTCCCCCTCATAAGGGGGAGAGACAGTGCAGCTGTGTGGGCACCTTGGCTCGCAAAGACCGCAAGGTCTCACCCTATCACTTGAGCCCAAGGTTCACCACCAAAATCCCAGGTCTTTTACCTCTGGGAACCATTCATTTTATTCTCTTAACTGCACTAGAAACTGGCCACAAGTTGCGATGAATAAACAACTCCACCCCAGTTAGGTACCAAGTGCATTCCTACTGAAGCATTGTGGCTCAAAGGTGCTGAGAAGAAGGCACAAAATTCTCTGATCCTCTGCCAATTGGCTCATGGGAGAAAAATTCCTTCCTGACCCCCTCAACAGATGATTGGTTAGACCCGCAGCATCTGCCAGGCCAGGTTCCCATTCCCAGTTCTGTTGGGTAGGGTGGACTGCTGGAATGGAGTCAAATAGGCTCCACAAAGCCCCCACACAGAGTTAAATTCTGGGATCTGGGGAATGCTGGACAATGAAAAGTCCTTTTCCCCTGCTGGTCAACAAGTGCTAGAGACTCCAAAGGGGAGGAGCTACCTATTATCCCTTGGTGAGAGTCTCCCTCCCTTGGTTCTGGGACTGTCCCCCTTTCACCACCGGCCCCATCAAGTTCCCCCACCTGTTGATGTGGGTCAGTGGCATTTCTGCAGTTTGTAGGTCATTAAGATTTCTTTGCATCTGTCCACTAGTGTGCACATTGCAAAATATGCCTGTAATTAAATGGCTGAGCAAACAAAAGCAATTTACTTTTTGACCATGTTTTGGAATTTCCTGCAATATCTTGGGAGATCTTACTGTATTAAATTTATGTATCACTGTGGGCCAGGGACTGCATATAATTCCATCAGGGAGGGAAACCATGGCTCCTTCAGGAACTAAGAACAGTATGGAGATGATTAGGCAAATTCACTCAGGTTGTAACACTTCCAGAGAAGTACCTCTGTTACAGTTCAGGGCAACTGTATTTCTCTTCAGTGGTCCATCAAGGGCACCCAGTCTCAGGCTTCCAGCTCCCTAGCCGTTGTCTTTCTTGGGTGGAGACCCGCATGCCACTCCCTTCTGACTGGAGTATTTCCAGGCTGCACAGTTTCCTGCCTTTCCTGTGTTATTCCCAGCAGAGACAGGCTGTCAAACCACACCTGCTTGCTTTCCGTTCAGAGACAGTAAACAGTGTGACTGCCCACAGATAATAAACAGCATGACATGCCCGTGCTAATAAGCATACCAGAGATTAGCCCAATCCTAACATGGGCTCTGGCTGGAACAGTCCTTCAATATACCACCCATGGGTTACTTGTTCTTTCAGGTTCATCACAGCTTCAGCTCAGAACATGTCCCCAGTCTTATGGGGACTCAGTAGACTCCAGTCCTTCCAAGCCTTTCCTAAGGATTGGGGCCCTCCATGGACCAGGAATCCTGTCTGTTTGTTGCATCAGGTAGAAGGCCATGAGCCTGTGTAAAAGCAGGCTATTAATCCAAAAATCCCTTATTTGCTTGTTGGTCCATGGAGAATCCGGTTTGCACTAGTATATGCACACCTCTCCAGGAGGGTGGTTTCAAAGAGCTGATAACAGGAGGAAATACACTGGCTTCCCCCTCCTCTTAAAGGAGTTGCATAGAGTTCCACAGTAACACATACACAATCACATTTTTAATACAATAGACTCCAAAGACATTAAACCTAATTCAGTAAAATTCATTCAGGATATTGCAGGAAATTGTCAGTCTGTCCCACCCACCACCTGGAAATGCTCATATATATTAGTTCAAACTAGATTCATGAGAGAGCAGCAGACAAAGAAAGGACTTTTGGATAAATAGCCTGAGTTTAAACTGACTCGGGGCCTGCATTTTGATCCATAAAATGGACAGGAACCTCTGTGTAAAGGAGGGCCCAATTCTTGCTGAACATTTGGAAGGATTTGAACTTCTAGAGCCCCATAAGACTGATGGGTGATGTCTGGTAAGTTTATTAGCATGCATGTAGGAACTTTTATTGGTTTTGATATGTTTTCTCTGTAATGCTTTTACCTTAAGAATAAATGTGCTTGCTTAGAAGGAGCTGTGTGGTAACTTTATAATTGTGGGCAATACACTGGTCATAGGCTTTGCAGGGAAAGCAAAGTGCAGGCAGTGGCCTGTTTACACAGTTTGACTTGCTGGGGATATCACACTATAATCCATGGTGCTGTTCAGCCTTAAACCCCCAGCCAGGAGGGAGGGAGGGAGTCCCAGGTCTTCACCCAAGGGAGGTGACAGCTAGGGGCCAGGAACCTAAAGTGGGTGCTATTGGTGGGCCACGGAGTGGGAATACAGATACAATTGCCCTGAAACTGTGACAGTATCTATCTAGGTTTTAATACTATACTGAACCACGCTTTTTGAGCATAATCTAAATTTAAGAAAAATATTAATTCTTTTACATTTTAATGGGACATCTGAAACAAAATCTGATTTCTCTCTTCTTTGTAATCTGCTTTCCAATTTATGTTGAAGTGGACTTTAACAAAAAAAGTTGAAGAAAAGTGTCTAGAAATGGAAATGTAGTGCACTCTTTGCAATATGAAGATTTGTTCAAGTACTTAAGTCCATTATTCTTCATTATTGTTATCATTATCATCATCCAGTCAGATAATTCCATTAAAAGGCCAAAATTTCATGTTGCCCAGTAGTAAGAATAAAACATAATGGGAAATAATTAAAGAACCTACATTTAAAATATATGTGCACACTCATTCATATATAATATACATAGAATGAGCATGTACATATATTTAGACTTTGTATGTATGTAAATGTATACACAAATGCACAAGGTGGTGAGGTAATATCTTTTAGCGGACCAAATTTTGTTGGTGAGAGAGACAAGCTTTCGAGCCACACAGAGCCCCTCCACGAGTCTGGGAAAGGATCTCTCCCACCAAAAGAAGATGGTCCAATAAAATATATTACCTCACTCCCCTTTGTCTCTCTAATATCCTGGGACAAACACAGCTACAACTACACTGCATACACACATGCACACACATTCAACTACATTAATGAATAGTAATGTATGTGTGTGTGTGTGCGCGCTCATGCATATGTAATTATGTAACACACACAAAAACTATGATAAGAGAATATTAAGGTTGCAAAGTCAAGTACTCAAAAGTTAGGAAATGCTTGAATTAATTCAATTCCCTTTTCTGCAGCATTATGATACAGTTTTTAATTACATGACCACATGCTATTTTTCAGGCAGTCCTCATTCAATGCATAGGATGAACGGTGCCTCAACTCCCATCTCTAAAATAGGAATAATATCACCCCCTCACTTCAGAAGATTGTTGTGAAGATTAATTAAATTATGTCTGGAAAGCACCCAGATTCTATAGTAATGAGCACCACAGAAGAGACCATTAGGAAATTACTAATTATGCCTTAAGGACAAGATGGCTCTCACTTTTGGAATTTGCTTTTTTGATGGTTCCTCAGAGCCAAAATGTGGGCCTACAATTTGCAACCAAGCCAGAGAAGTCCCTTACAATTTGTTCAAGGCTTTAACACACTTATAGAACACAGTTAAGATCCCGACAACATGACAGATTGAAAACATGATATAACCAGGTCAGGGAACAACTTGGTCACCTAATTTGATTTTAACAATAATATAGAAAGTCCCTTTAGCTGTATTCCAGATGCTGTGTAGGAGACAGCTCATTATTCTGGCAGATCTCTGGCACCCAACTACAACTGTGGGGTTTATCTGACTGACCCGGATGGATTATATTTTGTGTATATTTTTTATTATGTAGTTTAATTATGTTAGGCCCTCAGAAGCTAGGATCATCATAAATATTTATATAAATAACTAAAACAAATATATATAATTCCAACTGTTCTCTGGAATAGATCAAACTCCCTAGATATTACTAGTGGGCCTTTTCCTCATCCAAGTATAACTAAACTACCTTGCCCATGTGTTAGAGAAGATACCAGTATTCCTAAACTCAGCTGCAGTCCTGATGAGGGTTGCCACCCTCACAATTCCAGGCCGGTGGCACTGCCCTCATGAACAGCATCATCATACGTACTAGTTACACTTAAATCCCTGGTCTGAAATGCCACCTGACGATAGTTTTTGCACTACTAATGGCAACTGCTACATCATGCTAAGCACCAATAAATATTGACCTTCCTTGCATTCTAAATAAAAGGCAACCCTTTCCAGTATTGCTGTCACTTCAGTAGACGCCAAAGGAGGAAAATGACAATAGTTACTCACCTCGACAAACTTCACTTACTTATAAACAAGGTATAGGTGCATATTCAGAATTCACGTCTCAAGTAAAAAAACACAAACACAAGTGCAAACATAAAAAAGCCTCATTTAGGTTACCTTGGATACTCTGTTTGCAACCTCTCTGCCTACAGTCAGCCCCTGAACAAAGGTCCGTGCAGCAATGAAAGCTCTAGTCACTTGAACCTTCAGTTTCCTGGGTACATCTCCAAATGGTTTCAGCTGGTCTGTGTATTTGCTTACACACTCCAGATAGTCCTCAGTGAAATGATATTGGGGGTTTATGAGCTGGAACATTCGCTCCAGTAGCCGAGCCCAGAAATCATTCAGCATCTCCTCCAAATTTACATTGCCTCCTGTATAATATCGTTTCAATTCTGTGAAGAGGTCCTGGAACACTTCTGAATTCTGCATGTACAGCATTCCATATGTTCGTACAAACATATCATTTAAGGATTTTTCTGCGTTCTCCAAAAGTTCTCGGAAAAATTCTGCAGAGAAAATAAAAAGGTATATACAGAACAAAATTAATAAAATGCCCATGGAATGTTTCTTGCCTTCATGATGGTATTGCCTTCACGACGGTATTACGTTTAGCGAAATTTGCTCAAGTAAATGTTACTGTCATTTGCATGTTTAATAGAAAAAGTCAGTTATTTAAATTGGAAATAGGTTCCTTTAAGAGCAATGAAAAATGGAAAGCATATTGTATTTCCCACCGAGGTTAAAAAGAAACTTTAAATCCATAACTCTAAATTCTAAATATGCATTTGAGAGAGCTGCAATGAAAATTGTTCCATTATTTAAACCAGGCATCTCAAACTCAAATCACCACGATAGCCACATGAAGACTAGTACAATGGCCTGAGGGCCGCATCACTGAAACCTTTTCATATAACGATACAAAAGTATAGTCAAAAATTTAAAAAATTAAGAGTAATATAGTATGCTATTAAAAGTCAATGTATTAACTTTTTAAAAACTGTAATGCGAAGAGGGGCGGGGGGAGGGGAGCTTGGCTGCCGGTGGAGTCGGCGCCTATGGCAGGCCGCAGGAAATAACTCCGTGGGCCGCATGCATTTTTGAGACCCCTGATTTAAACCTAGCAATCCCTGCCACTTGCCAAACTCTCAATAGTGAACAGCCAATGTCCCGAATCTTGTGTACTAAACAAGAAACCATTAATGTAATGAGATGACTAGAACAACGGCAATATAGGAAAATGCAAGTAATGAAATCTTCTATTTTATTCTATTGAGGTTCTTCACTCATCACTATGGTATCTGATCTCCATGGTATTTTATAATTTACTTTCAGCTTTCAAAAATTCTTCAAAGGTTTGAACTGAGACATATTGGGGCCTGATCCTACAAGCCCTCCACACACAGAAGCCCTTTAAACTGTAATGCTAGCCTGAGTAAAAAGATATTGCTATTGTCAGTAATTTAATGCTATTCTGAAGCACTGTGTTGGCATTTGGGCCAGTGTTTTTCAAACAGCCTGCTGACTGCAACATTGTACAGACTGCAGTGTCTGGGACACCATGTTAGCAGCAGGCTTGTTTACCTATTCTTTCTTTTGATAACTAAGTTTACTGCTCCTCAGTTTATTTACCCAGCCTCGAGCCATAGCCTGTTCAAAGTCTTGACTTCAGGATTGTATGTTTATTGGAAAATAGGCCAATGGAACCCTCAGCAGCCATCTCTGGCATCTCTCTGACACATGAGCTCAGGAGGACATTGGGAGGAGGTAAGTTAGTCCAGGTTCTCTGTCACTGGTTATCCACCTTACACCACCACTGAGATACTTATGCTGGGAAATTACATTAGAGTGATTCTCTTAAGACTTTCCTTAAAACATTGTCTGGAATTCAACACCACTACCCTCTGGTTTTACATTTGAGTTTCAGTCTCTCACTTCATGCACTCTCTTTATAAATCTCCATGGCTTGCAATGAACTCCCTAAACACAAACTCTGAGAGGCCAGGAGGTAGATTTCCCCAAGTTGTTTGGTGGGAAAGGAATAGCAAACTGCCTCCATTGGGGTTTTCTTCACTTGCATGATCACAAAGCACTTTCAGAAGGTGTTGAATGGAGTCAATGGGGCTACTGAGACTTTAACAAAACATTTAGAATAACATATTGTATGGATCAAACATTAGTTGGAAGGAAAAAAAATTATAAATGCACCTGTCTATACAAACATGACAGTATAGAAGATATAAAAGTTTAACATAAGCCCACATGAGGAAGGAACTATGTTAGTAATAGTAGGAATGAAAGTTAATTGCTGCAAGTTGCTTACTAGGATGTAATAATTATGTTATTGTACATTGACTCAATAATTATGCCATCCCACAATTGTGTATTGACCTGGATAAAGCCATCATCTCCACATCAAAGGAAAAGACTAAAAAGACTACATCTGCATGGTCTCTTTGGGCAGACACGCATTCTTTGGGGAACATATGATCAAATCTTAAATTGGCAGGCTGAGGTAAATAGGGACAGACACTAATTTAATAGGAAAAAGATTCTCTGCTAGGCAAGATATTCAGGTACTTTATACAATACTTTGCAATGTAAGCTCTTAAGGGAACATTTTCAAAAGTGCTTAAATGTCAGAACCCTAAATAACACAGGTGGCTTTTAAAATTTTAGCCATTATCTACAGTGCTGAGTGAAGCTTTGAATACTATTTGTCTAGGCAAGTATGTTTGCATAGAATCATAGGACTGAAAGGGACCTCGAGAGGTCATCTAGTCCAGTCCTCCGCACTCATGGCAGGATTAAGTATTATCTAGACCAGGGGTCGGCAACCTCTGGCACGTGGCTCGCCCCAGGCCAATGGGGGCGGCGGGAAGCCGAGGCCAGCACATCCTTCGCCCACGCTGCTTCCCACACCCCCATTGGCCTGGGACGGCGAACCACCTCCAGATGTTTTTCATCAGTGAAAAGCAGCCATCAAACCAGTGGTTCCAGGCCCCTTAACATTCCCTTAGATAAGATCTTGCATGTCATAGGGCTGCTGTAGTGGTTTCTCTGCCAGCCCCTCCCAGTCCATTGTTAATAGTCTCAGTATTATCATAAGTGGTGTGGCAGAACCACCAGCGTTAAGGTTGTATTATGACTTCTCTTGAAAGGTTCACCTTTTTAAATCCTCTAAAATTAACATACCTAGTTGGACTTCTTTGAAAGTTGGTGTGACTCAGGAAGGTGCATGGTACGTTTAGTGACCCAGATTTGGGGCCATTTGAGCTAACGGTTGTGGAGATATAAGCCCAGCAAAATAGTCGTTTTTCAAGAAGTTTCTAGTTTTTTGGGGGTTTTTTGCATGCAGAGTTAGAGATAAAACTATTGATGTGATGTGGGTCAAAATGGTCTCATCTTGTCGAGTTTTATCCAAGATAGTGCAGGCACCCACTACATTTTGGAAGAACTAAAACTGAGATCAATACACCTCTACCCCAATATAATGCAACCCGATATAACATGAATTTGGATATAAGGTGGTAAAGCAGCACTCTGGGGGGGCGGGGCTGCGTGCTCCAGCGGATCAAAGCAAGTTCAATGTAACGCAGTTTCACCTATAACGCGGTAAGATTTTTTGGCTCCCGAGGACAGCGTTATATCGAGGTAGAGGTGTATTTAAGAAAATGTACATTTTACAGTGTCCATGTGCCAATACAGAAAAACAGCTAGGTTTCCATTCCCACATTTCATATTAAAATTTGACTCTTGTAAGTGCTTTAACATTTGAATGGCTAATCATATTGCATTGAAATTTGGTGTGCCTTATGTGAGCTCAGGGTAGTGTTAGTGATCCACATTTGGAGTCATTTGCATGAGGGGTTCCTGAGTTACAGTATCCTTCTGCTGCCTTGTACTATTAAACTGAGAGGTACTAATGACTTGATGAATCACTGAACTCCTTGAGACTGATGGCTGTGAACTCACCCTCAAATTAACATAATTAAGGATAAGTTAATTACAAAGCCCCACTTAGGACAGTTTTGGAGTGAGTGGATGCAGGCTGGTACAGTTTGAGAGTCATAAATGGCAGTTTTATTTGGGTGGCAATGCAATAAAAATATTTGGTAGTGTCGCAACCCTATGCTCAGACATGGCGTCTGGATGGCCAATTGTCGGTCAATAGGTCACATTGGTGTCGTGTGCAACACATTGGTGTCATGTGCACCGTCGTAGTGCCGTGTGCCTACTCTCGAACCTTCTGCCTGGTCAATTGTAGGACACATTGGTACCGTGTGCTACAATACCGGTGTGTCGTGTGCATAAACTTAGTGTGCCGGGTGCAGTATCTGTTGACATAGAGGGCACCAGCTCGGAACCCGGTTGGTGTAGGAGCGGGGGACCAATCAAATGCTGGCACGAGTAAGGGTCTTCGAATAAAACTATGTCTCGCGCCAAAATCAGTAGGAGTGTCCGTGTGTTAGCTGAAAGGCCTTATCACCCTTTCAGCAAGGGTTTCCTCCGGACTTAGTCGGCTAGTGTCGTGTCGTTTCGGATTACATCCTGTCATGCCCCTGGTGTCTGTACTGCTGGTCAGCTGTGCCTGGAGTGTGGTATGTGCATTTTAATTTTTGTAAATATTCTGTTTGCTTGGCCTCTTCCCTTTTTCTCCTCCCTTACTTGGTACCAAATCTCGTGTATAGTATATAGGGGACGAATTGTTGTATTAATTGCTGTTGTGGTCAGTTGGTGTATTTTATGGGATTCGATTAACGTATGTACAGTTTACTCAGTTTTGTATGTCTGTTCTGGTTTTTAGTGAACAATTGATTATAGATCATTTGGTTCTTCGTTGTTGGATGTAAATAGACTGTTTCAAGTCACATATATGTTGCTGTTCTGGTGATACTTTTGGTTGATGACTTGTTCCTATTTTAATTAGAGTTGTGTGAATATTTTTACTCTGATAGTATTGCTAGTTGGTAAAAGTACTCCTCCCCAGCCCAAGTTGTAATTCATTCCCCATTAATAAACAACCATCTGTTTTGAATTGCAATCTGTCTTCGTTTCAATTTTCCTCTTTCACTCAAATACTCATTCGAACCTGTATTGGTCTCGGACAGGTAGGAAAATTGTACATGTGACTGTTTCCAGGGAGAGGAAAGATAGAGCATGGAGGAGGAGGGGTATTGGGGAGAGGGGTTTGGGGCAGAGGGATTTTCACACAATACAGCCCAACTTAGTTGTGGCCTTTAGATACTTGCACAATCTAAATGTTAAATAACTGCAACTAACTCTATAAGCTTAAATTGCATTTTAGTCCAAATGCGAAGCCAGGCTTATGAGATGATATAGGAAAGCTAATGTCTTTCAAACTACCATGCATTTAATTCATTTTCAGCCTTCCACTGGGTCTCTACACTTTGAAGACCATTGTTGAGAATAAATTATTATGCCATTTGAAAGTTAAACAGTTTCTTTTCTTTTCTCTAGGCTTTGATAGGAAACAATATGCTTAGTT